TCTGTTCTTTGAAGAACCCAGGCTAAGCTGGTTTGTTTCTTAGGCTAGGGCTAAATGTCTCAAGATCAAAATTTCCCACTCAGCAAAACGGCCAGTTATGAGCAAATGGGTGGGTGGCCCAGGACCTGAAGACTGTTGCTGTGCATAAAGAAACTCCCAACCAACCCACCTCCCCCCCCGCCCGCACCCCCACCCATCAAGGGGGAAAAAATCTAGATTCTGCTCTTGTCCCTTCCCCATTTCCTCTTGTAATTAGACACATGCAAATCTGTCCTAATCCCTTGCCTTTTACTATGACCAAAAAATGGAAAATTCAGGGAAGTACTTAAGTCATTCCCCACCCCTGCAACTCAGAATGCTGGAACTATTAAGTGTTCTTGTATTTCTTCTTTTAAGATGGGGAACTCAAAAACAGAGAGAGCACAAAACATTTCTACATCTTGAACCTTCATCTGATATCTGGAGTTCAATATAGAAACACTGCTGCCATTGTTCAGTCAAACGTCTGGCCTCCGACACACCCACAAGAGCACTTTCAGATGTTCCTTTATGAAGAATTCCTTAGGGCCATGGTGGAACTGGGCCAAATGAAAACTGAAGTCTATTACATCAAGCAGTGTGGCTTACAAGTCCAAATAGATTATTCACAGACCAATGTGATGGACCAAATGGAGCCTCTTGGCAAAGGGGTTTATTTTCGAGTGTCACTCATAGTTCAGCAGTTGAGTTGCACATAAATGTACAACAATGCAGCTGAATCACCTGCTAGAGATTAAGTGTATATTTTCTCCCTCTTTAGGACAGTGAAAGCTATTACATCTGAAAGCAGAAGTGTTTGGGTAGCAACCCTTAGAATAGGGCTAGAGTCTCATTGTGAGAAAGAACAGGATTAGTTTTTTAGAGCCCAAAGTTGTTACACTCCCAGAACACCTCCAGGTACCATAAGGATTAGTTAGAACCTGATGCTACCCTCAGGCAAAAAGTGATAAACCCTATAGGGATGAGCTGGAACTCAAGAGACAGAGGGCAGGACTTACCAGCCTAAAGTTATGGAAGCCTTAAACCAGTGGTCGGCAAACTCATTAGTCAACAGAGCCAAACATCAACAGTACAACGATTGAAATTTCTTTTGAGAGCCAAATTTTTTAAACTTAAACTATATAGGTAGGTACATTGTTTTTAACTTAATTAGGGTACTCCTAAGCTGGCCTTTGCTAAAAACGTCCTCAATCTGATTGAGGTACATTCGCTGAGGTCGACCCCTTCCAACTCTCCCATTCACACTCGTCTTGTATACTTGTTTAGTCTTTCTCCTTTCGTTCATCCTCTCTATATGTCCAAACCATCTCAACATACCTTTCTCAATCCTTGACACTGCATCTTCTTTCACTCCACAACATTCCCTAAAATTAACTTAATAAACTTAAAGTTTTAAGTCAACTTCGCACTGTACATGCACGCCTGCACATGGTATTTTGTGGAAGAGCCACACTCAAGGGGCCAAAGAGCCACATGTGGCTCGTGAGCCGCGGTTTGCCAACCACTGGTCTAAAGGATTGCTAAGTCCCTGACTGAAAATGCCCTCTTATTTCCAGGAAGGTATAAGAAGGGGAGAGACAACTCTTTTCTGGAGCGCTAAATAATGTACCTACTTCAATTAGGGGTTGGAGAAGGATATTTTTATTTAGGGCTCTTTTAGTTTCGTGACTAACTGTATTTTACATCTACTACTTGTTGCTTAAGTGGCCTTGGCACTGACTGAGGAAACAGGAGTCTTAAGGCTCAGTCTCTGATCTTCTGCAATTTATAGTCTACTTAAAAAGATTAAGTCACTTAAAAGAGCTTATATAAGCAACTGAAACTTAATTAAGTGCAATATTCCTCATATGAGTTGTTATTTTAAGAACCAGCTTAACCCGGCCAGTGTCGCTCAGTGGTTGAGTGTCGGCCTATGAACCAGGAGGTCATGGTTCGATTCCCAGTCAGGGCACATGTCTGGTTTCTGGGCTTGATCCCCATTGGGGGGCATGCAGGAGGCAGCTGATTGATGGTTCTCTCATTACCGATGTTGTGCAATATTCCTCATATAAATTGTTATTTTAAGAACCAGCTTAACCCGGCCAGTGTGGCTCAGTGGTTGAGTGTCGGCCTATGAACCAGGAGGTCATGGTTCGATTCCCAGTCAGGGCACATGTCTGGTTTCTGGGCTTGATCCCCATTGGGGGGCATGCAGGAGGCAGCTGATTGATGGTTCTCTCATTACCGATGTTTCTATTTTTCCCTCTCCCTTCCCCTCTGAAACCAATAAAAATACATATATATTTTAAAAGAACCAGCTAAACTTGAATTAAAGATTCCTATCAGTCCAGAAGCTCTTCTGTGAGCTGAATGGCTATGAAATGCTTGGGCTAGCAATTCACATCTCCTTGCTCTTCTTCTCCCTGTTCCAGTGTGCAAGTTGCTCGAAACATTTGGATGTGAGCATCTCTCTCAGATTGTGGGCTCTTTCTAAACAATTCGAACAGATCCCTATGCTTTCCACATATGATGTCAATGTTCTCTGGCAATTTTTTTAAGTCTCAATCTTGACATTTTAATTCATTTTACATTTGGCTTCTGTGAGTCCCTTTCTTGGTTGTGAAATGTTAGGGTGGTTAGTTTGTGTTTCATTAACTTCCCTCAAGCCTGTCAAGATTTCTAGTTTCCTTAGAGCATGTGGATGTGGGCCAGACCCATAAATGTTAGCTGTGCCCTGACCCTTTCCAATAGAAGCCAAGGGAGGGTTCTCTGCATGGTAAGGAAAGCAGGTCTGACTGACAGGAAGAGGGAGGGAATGAGCAAGGCTGAAACATAAGCAGGAGCAGGTCTTCCCAGAAGTGGTGAAATTTGCCATGGGACATATTGGGACACAGGGCCTGCCAGGAACATGGTGCAATTTTTAGCCACATTTACACTAGGAGAGAGCACAGCCTTAGCATTATTACCTCTGCATGAGAATGTTCATAAAACTGAGAGGACATGGACAAGTTCTGATCTCTCAGAGAATTACATCTGGGAATTCTAAGGGATATAATCTGGCCACGCAATCCAGGAAGAAGCTCCAACATCTGTTCCCTCTGTCTCTGGGCCCACCCTGGGATCCCATGAAGCCAACTGGCAAACGTTTTATTTCCTCTAGTCAGAAACACAGCCTTTTGAGAAATCTAAATTCACCTTGACTTTTCTCCCCTTTTCACAAGTTGTTTTCTTATTGGGTTTTGTTTTTCTCCTAGTCAGATGTTCTTCATAATTACTTCAAACCTTAAACTTGGACACACTCGAAAAGATAAAAGCTGCCACTGCACATTCTGTGAGCCTGGAAGACAGGAGCTTCAGAAAGAACTAGAAACAAATTTTAAACATCAATTACTTAGAAATGGATCCAGGTGTTTCACATACATTTGAATTTACTCTCCACATATCTCCTGTTGGCTTTGTCTGGATCCTTTCGTTGCCATAATTGCTCAGGGGTAACACTGGTGTGGTATAAGTAAAGTTTTACTTTTATCATTTCTGCCCCAACGACTATCCCTTTACAAATAATCACCTTGACTTGCACACAACTGCTTTTCTGATATAATTAACGGATTAAATTGTTTCCTTTTCATTGTATTCCTATTCCTAGAATTGGTCTGTAGGCCTTACAAATTCTCTAAGAACTCTGACAGCCTGTAATTGTCTACAGCCAAATACCTTCTTCAGGGTGGAGCCTTAGAACAGTGTGTTGATGATACTTAGGCTTTAACATTCCCCTTGCTAGTAAAATTTTAACATACTCCTCTAATAAGACAAACATGTATGATTTCCTGAAAACTACAACCCAGTAATCTGGATGAATTAAAGCATTAATATTACATACTCACCATATACTAGAAATCTAAAATGGAGGCCCATTGAAAAGTAAATGATTTAGGAGAATTTTTAATATTTTTTCCTTTTTAGTTCATTTCTGTTTTGGTTGGCTTTTTTGGAAATCAACATATGTGAACACTTGACTTATTTTACTCAGTTGTTTTTGGGCTCTTGGCTTGGTACACAGAATAGCAATGATAAGACAAATGGGGAGGAAGATGAAGACATCAGGAAATGGGAGTGAGACTCAGCCGCGGGTTTTGTTGCTTGTCACTGGACTCTGATCATTTCTAAAAACTGTTGCAATCTGTTTTGTATGTTTAAAGAGGAATGTCAGTTCCAAGATAAATGAAGTTTTCTCTAAGGTCACATATTACTTCACAGCAGAGATGGGAGCCATTTCTACTTGCACACGGAAGACATTCCAGTAATATGCATTTGCTAAATTTAGCTAAGTTCCTAAAGGTTGTGTGTGACTTCCATTTTTATAAGTTGAATCATACTTTTAAAACATATGGGGAGCACATGTAATGGAATACTACATTGGGTCATTTGTAAATTTAATACCCACCTCCTGATATATCTGTTTTGTAAGCAGAATTGGGTTTATCAGGTTTTCTTATAACTGAGCACACGGGCCCAACCTGTGTGGCTCAGTGGTTGTGTGTTGACCTATGAACCAGGAGGTCACTGTTCAATTCCCTGTCAGGGCACATGTCTGGGTTACGGGCTTGATCCCCTGTAGGGGGCATGCAGGAGGCAGCCGATCAATAATTCTCTCTCATCATATTCTCTGTTCTTCATCTGTAACAAGAGGGAAGTGGACTCAGTGATTTTGGATATTTCTTCCAATGTTAAAATTATAAGGTTTCCAACAATAAAGATTTTTTTTAAATTATAAGGTTTTAGGGGCCAGGGTAAAGGGGGGAAATGGGGAGGGGAAGAAGGCATGTGTAACACTTTCAACAATAAAGATATATTTTTAGAAATTATAAGGTTTTAGGATCGACTTCCAACTAACATTAAATTAGAAATTGAGAGATTAGGCCATCTTTTCTGCTTTGAGGGATAGGGAGAAAAAAGAATAGAATGATTCTTCTCATGTTTTGTCTTCTTTCCTTTTATTCATAACTAACCCCTTATTGCAATTACATTCATCTGAAATAACAATTATTTGTATTGAGCCAGACCCACCTCTCACATTAGGCAGAGCTCTACTATGGCTTAAATCCATTGTGTGCTCTTAGACATGCTTTACTTCTTGGCTACAAATGAACTGAGCTCTCCGGAGCCAAGGTGAGAACACTTGAGCATTCCTCCTTCCTGCAGTGGCTAACTGTAAAATATCTTATATATCTTAACAGCAAAATCACACAATCAAGGTCCTTTTCTCTCTCTCTCTCTCTCTCTCTCTCTCTCTCTCTCTCTCGGAGTTCCCACAGGGGGGAAAAAATGAGAACATCTTTTTTTATTTGTTTGTTTTGTATACAATTAATATAGTTAATTGTATATAAATATACTGATGGATTATGGTAATTTAGTAAACCCTCTTTTGGACCAAATTTTATCCCACAAATCCCTACAAAATGAAACAGTATGTTGGTTCCTATCATAACTAGAATATTATCAAGATAAAAAGATCTTGATAGTTAGCACTTTTTCTCCATCTTCATGTAAAAAACATAGTGTCTTTAATACTTTAATAGAAAGAACATAATTATTCAAAATAATTCAAGCAGTTGAGAAAATTACCACAAATTCCAAGAGTCACATACAGGAGTCCTTAAAATGTGGTGGACAGCATTACAGGCATCTCTCTACGTATATATAGAGAGAATTGATGGAAGAACAGATGGATGTATGGGTGGGTGGAAAGAAAGAAGGAAGGAAGGAACAAAGGAAGGAAGGGAGGGAGGGAGGGAGGGAAGGGAGAAAGGAGGGAAGAAAATCATACTATACATGCTTTCAGATTTTAAAAATGTTCTTTTAAATATTAAAAATTTTAGAATCCTATATAATAAAAGCCTAATATGCTAAGTGTCCAACCATTCGTTCGACCATTCTACAAGTTGTTATGATGTGCACTGACCACAAGGGGGCAGACTTTTCGACGGGTAGGTTAGTTTGCTGCTGGTGTTCAGCTGATTGGGAATGAGCGAGACAGGTCAGACACACCCTGGAGCCCTCCCTGGCCCCAATCGTATACCAGTGGGGTCCCTTGGTCTGGCCTACGCCCTCTTGCAATCTGGGACCCCTCAGGGGATGTTGGAGAGCTAGTTTCAGCCCGATCCCCGCAGGCCAGGCTGAGGGACTCCACCAGTGCACAGATTTGTGCACTGGGCCTCTAGTAGTGTTATATTTACAGAAAAATTCCAAGAGTAGCACAAAGGGTTCCTTTATACCAACTATCCAGTCGTCCCCATTGTTAATCTTACATTAGTGTGCTAAATTTATCCGAACAAATGAAACAAACATTGTTAATAACTAAAGTCCATACTTTAGTTGAATTTTAATTTTTATCTGATGTCCTTTTTCTGTCCCCAGATCTCAACAAGATACCACATTGCATTGTCATCATTTCCCCTTAGGCTCCTCTAGATTTTTGACAGTTTCTCAGAATTTTCTTGATTTTGATGACAGATCAAGTAACTGTGCAGAGTGGTCCTCAGTTTGGGTTTTTCTCATTTTTTCTCATGATTGGGGTTAGGGTTCTTTTAAGAAAGGTTGCAAAGGTAAAGGGCCATTCTTACCACAGCATACCAGGGTACATGCTATCAACATGACTCATCCCTGACAAGGTTAACCTTAACTGTAGGGTGAAGCAGTGTTTGTCAGATTTCTCCACTCTTGTTCCTCCTTCTATATGGTACTGTTTGCGTGGACATTGTTATGCAAAGTCCATACTTAAGGGATAGAGAGTTATGCTCTATCAAGTTGAGAGTATAGAACCTACATAAATTGTTTGAAATTCTTTTGTACAGATTTGTCGATTATTTATTATTTACCTACTCATTTACTTGTGTCAGTTTGGACTCAGAGATATTTACTTTATACTTTGGATTATAATCCAATACTATGTTATTTATTTTGTCCCTCAAATTGTTTTAAGCTATGGCCATTGAGAGTTCTTTCAGTTGGCTCTTGGGTCCTTTTGATATGTACCCATTGTCTTGTTTTGTGAATGCTCCTTTACTTTCTGCACCTTAAGATGCTCCACCCTAGAATGAAAGAGCCCTGTTTCCCTTAACTGAAGAATGGCATTTAGAATCCAAGATCTGGATGCTGAGTGTGCTCATTGCCTCTAGGGCAGAGATGGTGAACCTATGACAAGTGTGTTAGAGGTGACAGGCGAACTCATTTTTTTGGTTGATTTTTCTTTGTTAAATGGCATTTAAATATATAAAATAAATATCAAAAATGTAAGTATTTTACTATGGTTGCAAATATCAAAAAATTTCTAAATGTGACACGGCACCAGAGTTAAGTTAGGGTTTTTCAAAATGCTGACACGCCGAGCTCAAAAGGTTCGCCATCACTGCTCTAGGGTATGGCACTTCTTTCCTTTTTGCTTCTTCTAGACCAGGGGTTCTCAACCTTCCTAATGCCGAGACCCTTTAATACAGTTCCTCATGTTGTGGTGACCCTCAACTATAAAATTATTTTCGTTGCTACTTCATAACTGTAATTTTGCTACTGTTATGAATCAATTCTCTCCCATCAATTCCCTCTTCTTGCCCTTTGTCATCAACCTCTCCTGCTATCTCCAGTTTTTGTTATCCACTGACCTATTCTTCACTGCTATAGTTTGGCCTTCTCCAAAATGTTGTATAAGTAGAATCTTATAGTAAGCAGCCCTTTGGCTCTAGCTTATTTCACTTAGCAAAAATGCATTTGAGATTATTCCATGTTAATGCATAAAATAGTTAATATCAATATACTAAATCAGCATAGTTTAGATTTTTGCTCTAGTCATTCCCTTGAATACCTGTATTAGTTTTCTATTGTGGCATAAGAAATTACCACAATCTTAGGGACTTAAAACAACACCTATTTATTAACTCACAGTTTCCATGGGTCTGGAATCCAGGTACAGCTTGGCTGAGTACTCTGTTCGGATCTCACAAGGCTGCAGTCAACATGTCAGCCTGGGCTGCTATCTCATCTGCATTCACAATGCTCTTCTAAGCTCACTGGTTGTTGGCAGAATTCAGTTCCTTGAAGCTATAGGACTGAGGTTCTTGTTCTGTCAACACTTTGACTTTTGTGCAGTAAAATGATTTTGGATTTCTCACCTCCAAAACTGTAAGAGAATAAACTTGCATGTTTTAAGGTTAAAGCCACTAAATTTGTGGTAATTTGCTACAACAGCAATGAGAAACTAATACATTGCACATTAGGAGAAAAGTGTATATCCAGAGGATATGTTAAAATACAGTAGGAATTCTCAAACTCTTTTAATGGCCAACTCTGGTAAGTAATACATTTTATATCAATATCTAAGATGAACAAGCATCCACAATTGTATACACCCAAACAATCAAAAGTTTTGCAAGTCTATATTTACTTTACAAAGTATACTCTAATATTTTCTGTACTGTTTTATTCTACTCCATTAATTCTTTTGTTTTTATTTTTTTTTTACTAATTTCAGAGAAAGAGAAAGGGAGAGGTAGAGAAAGATAGAAACATCAATGGTGAGAAAGAATCACTGATCAGCTGCCTCCTGCATGCCCCCTACTGGGGATCAAGCCTGCAATCTGGCATGTACCCTTACCAGAAATCAAATTGTGACCTCCTGGTTCATAGGTAGACACCCAACCACTGTGCCATACAAGCTGGGCCATTATTTCATATTTTAAAGAAAATGCTGGTTAGTGTCCACTAGATTGATTTCATAATCTCCTGAGTATCTTGAAAAACACTACAGTTCAGGGAATAGACTAGATCTTAAGAAAGGAAGATTGGGATCCACTGAGTTAACTTTAAATGTCAGCCTCCTGACAGCATTTGATAAATGCTTCTGAGCAGCTCATAGGTGGTGTCATTGCCATCAGGGGCCTCAACAAAATATAGACAGTGCAAAGTTTTCCCCAGGAATTCTGAATTCTCTATTTCAATGGTTCTCAACTGAGGGTGATTTTGCAGCCCAGGGGACATTGGCCAATATCTAGAAATATTTTTGCTATTATAACTGGGAGGTAGGCCAGTATGGGCATAGAGTGGGTAGAGGCTAGGGATGCTACTGCTAATCACTCTACAATGCACAGGACAGCCCCCACAGTGAATTATCCAGCCCCAGATGTCAACAGTGCCAAGGTTGAGAAACTAAGCTCCCGTTGCCTCTTTGTCAGCTGTGTTCAGATTGTATTCATCTCTTCTGAAGCCCTTCTGCAGGCTTGTCCTCCTTTATGATGTCGTATGGTCCAAAACTATGCCTTTCCTACCCAGCATAAAATATTCACAAGTTCTTGTGAATTAGATTTGTGTTTTAGTCCATTTGGCTGCTACAACAAATACACAGACTGGGTAGCTTATAAACAGAAATTTATTTCTCACAGTTCTGGAGGCTGAAGTCCAACCCTCTTCCAGGTTGCAGACTTCTTGTTGTATCATATGTTGGGAGAGACAAGCAAGCTCTAGGGAACCTCTTTTATAGAGGCACTGAGCCCATTTATAAGGGCTCTACCTCATGACCAATCACCTCTCAAAGGCCCTAACTCCTAATAACTTTACCTTGGGGGTTAGATTCCAACATATGAATTTTGGAGGGACAAATATTCAGAGCATAGCAGTGCATCATAAGTGACAGCTGCATTTTAAAAAGCTTATTAATAAATCTGAAAGCAGTGACTGGTGAAATGTGCAAGAATCTCCTTGACACACAGTGGCTGATTCCAGGCTGCTGCTCTCAGGGAACTAAACTACCACACCTGCAACTTGTTTTAAACTGCCAAACTACAAAGTATGTAGCTCATCTAGTCATCTAAAATGAGCTGCTTTATGGCAGGTTGTTAGATTTTACTACAGTCAGACTTAAGGTACACTTGAAAATCTTATGAGTGGGACACAGATAGCACTGGCCCACTGAAAACTGAAAAGATAATGACTTCCACACTATAAAGCCATTTAGGAGGGTTTTTTTTTTTTCACTCTAAACATAATTTTACCAGTCCCTAATTCTAAATATTCCATTATAGGGCACTAGAAAATAGCTTAAGGGAAGAAGGAATAGTCAATAATCAGCTTTTGTTGTTTCTACAAATAACTCATATAAAATATACCAGATGTTTAGGAAATAATATCTAATTAAAGTGAACTGGGGCAATTCTCTGAAGGAGGCACAGGCCACAGTCACAGGGCCAGCTCACTGGGGTAGGGGTGGGCGGTGACACATAGAGCAAGTGGTGGTACTTAGTGTCCAAGGGTGGGTTGTGAAAATAATCTATTTTATCTTTCATGTTTTGGGGGAAGTCTTTGGAAAAAATATCACATTTATTGTTAATTCCAGAATGAATGGTTTTACAGTTTGGGTATTATTGTCTCTCCTACTTTCACAGGAACAGAAAAGCACCTATAAAAATAAACTCCAGGAAGTGAAAGCTACATTACAAAGAAGGTTTTAAACATAATAATTAGAATTCCTGCCTTCTGAAACTGAGAGAGCTTTACTGTGGAAAATACTCTGATCTTAATTTCTGTGTTGCAATATCTACCCCAAACCCCGGGGCAGGTTGAAGTCCTAATGAGGAGAGATCCTAGGAAACCAAACTTCAGGAGCTTGAATAGTTAAGGAAGGTGTCTAAAAGAAGTTTCCAGAAGGGCATTGTTCCAAGAAGAACAAGCCCTTTAAAGTAAAATATATTCTTTGCTAACCAGTCAGGACCCTTCTGTATTTGCATGTATGCATTTCCCTCTATGGCAAAGACACATACTTTCTTTTAAAGTGACCATTTTATTAAGTGCTGACCTAGTGTTTGGCGCTATGCTAAGCACATTATATGGATTAGTTCATGTAGTCATCACAGTAATTCTATGAGGTAAGCAACATTGGTATTCCCACTTATACATTAGAAAACCAAGGTTTAGGGGATTATTTGGCTTAACAAAGGACCAGGCCAGGATTAGAATCAGGCAATTTGATTCTAGAGGTCATGCAAATAATAATCCTGGAACACACGGCACAAAGGGATTCTTTCAAGCCCTGTCATAGATTTTATTATGGGCTCAAAGTGAATGGAATGGTTAAGGTATCGATTGAAATAGGAAAAGTCTATGTGTTTCTGTTTACATTTTCCAGTCATATCAATTCTCTTTTTTTTTTAACTAAAATATATTTGACATATAACATTGTGTAAGTTTAAGGTATACAGCATGTTGATTTGATATATTAAATATTGCAGTATGGTTGCCATTAGAGCTAGCACCTCTATCACAGAACATAATTCTCATTTCATTTTGGAGGGGGAAATAATTAAGATCCAGTCTTTTAGCAAGTTTGATGTTTATAATACCACTAGAGGCCCGGTGCATGAAATTTGTGCATGGGGGGTGGGGGGACAGAGGGGTCCCTCAGACAGGCCTGCACCCTCTCACAATCTAGGACCCCTCGGGGGATGTCTGACTGCTGGTTTAGGCCCGATCCCACAGGCCTAAACCAGCAGTCGGACATCGCTCTCGCAATCTGGGACCACTGGCTCCTAACTGCTCACCTACCTGCCTGCCTGACTGCCCCTAACCACTCACCTGCCTGCCTGATCACCCCTAACTGCTCACCTGCCTGCCTGATTGCCCCTAACCACCTCTGCCTGCCTGCCTGATTGCCCCTAAACACTCTGCCTGCCTGCCTGATGCCCCTAACTGCTTGCCTGCCTGCCTGATCTCCCCTAACCACCTCTGCCTCGGCCCGGGCCACTGCAGCTTCATCCGGAAGGATGTCTGGAGTGATGTCTGGAAGGTCGTTTGGCTGTCTGGTCTAATTAGCATATTACACTTTTATTATTATAGGTAGTGTTGTCTATAATCACCATACTGTGCAATAGATCTCTAGGACTTATTTATGTATAAGTTACAAGTTTGCACATTTAAGCAACATACCTCCTATTCCCCCACCCTCCAGCACATCATGCTTATAATCTTTTTTATATGTTCTTGAATTGTCTGCTAATATTTTATTGAGAATTTTTCATCTATAGTTATCAGGAATATTGATTTATAGTTCTCTTTCCTTGCAGTGTCCTTATCTGGGTTTGGTATCGGGATAATGCTGGTCTTGTGCCAGGGTCCAACCCCAGCAGGTCCAGGGGTCCCCAAAGGTGTGGACGGAGTCGGCGAAGAAGGAATGACACGGAGACAGCGTTCAGTTGATCAGCAGCCTTGCCAGGATCTCTAGCCACAATCTCCAGCCAAGTTCTGTGTCCATGTTCTCTTGCTAGGTTCTCCAGCCACGTTCTCCAGCCAGGTTCTGGAGCCATGTTCTCTCGCTAGGTTCTCCAGCCAGGTTCGGTTTAGGTTCTCCAGCCAGGTCCGGTCGCCAGGTTCTGTAGCCGGGTTCTCCAGTCAGGTTCTGTCTAGGTTCTCCAACCAAGCTCTGTAGCCAGGTTCTGTCCAGGATCTTTTGCCATGTTCTCTCCAGCGAAGTTCTTCTGTCTCTAGGTTCTGTGTAGGTTCTGTCTTCTAA